CTTGGTGTGTCAGGGCCCAAAAAGATTCTGGACTTTTAAGAACACATTCAAGGCCAGGATGCAGGATTCAAGCTACAACTGTGCGATATAATGACTATGTACGATATATCGACATATTTTCAAGCAAGATATAAATTCAGACAACACCGTTTATATCAATATAGGGTCGCAACGACAACACAGACGTTTCATATACAATATGTACAGGCCTATAACGCAGACAAAGTATCTCTCGCTCCTTCCCTCCTTCGTCCTCTCTGTTGATACTATGTGTACAAATTAGATTAATAGCCTACATAATTTAAAAGATTTAAATCATTTTCCAGCTCTAGATTCATTTGAAAGGCCTGAAAAACCTTTTAACTCCCCCCACAAAGATTGTTAATTGTTATAAACTACAGTGGATTTCGGCCTCCTTGATACTTTTATACTCATGTCATAGTTTTGTGTCCTGTGCGGCAAACCTTTAAACCTCTGTAGCTTCAGTGCTGTGTGCAAAAAAGTTTCTTTGCATTTTATTTTGATCACAGTCTGTTTTTATAAAGTGCTTGTGACATCTCAAATGTGGCTCTGACTTGCAACTGAACATGTAGCTCATTTCATAGATATATATATCGTGTATCGCCAGTCAGCCTGTTAATACAGAGATATGAATTTCTGTGCATGGACAGCTGAGAGAAAATGGTTAAAGTTACACAAAATGATCTCCTCCAGTACATATCTTAAACCCGGGATTAGTTTTACATAGGTACGTGGGGTAAAGTAATAATTACCAGAGATTTTAGTCCCGTCCGAATGTGCCATGTCAGTAATCATTACCACACGATGTCAGAAAAGATTACCGCGACTTTTACCTTCTGTAAAAGGGTCCCGGGCAATTACCTCAGGTAATACTAATCCCGTGCGAATACACCAGCAGTAAATATGTGTGTAGATATTTCGTCATATCCTGTTTACAAGTGGTTTGTTGCAGATTTTCAATCATGGAGGCTCTTGAAGAAGCACTCAGTTTTGCACTTCACAGTCGGACAAGTCTGTGTGAAACCTCAGGTACTGTGGGCCTTCGACGAACACGAGTTTGGTACGCATAGGAAGCAACATCATACGCACATGACGGCAGACGGGGATGGCAGTGCGTGAATGGATTTACCCCTCCCACATGTGGTAGCTTTACTGATATTTCTTATCCTTTGCGAATTGGCCATTAATATTACTGACGTCCTGTGGTAAAGTGACATTACCCCACGTGCCCATGTAAAACAAATCCTGTCCGAATAGTGCTTTAATCTCTGTATCTTTGATGTAGTCACTGACCTTCATTCAGGCGAGTAAAATTATAGTCAGAATATTCAAGTTGCTGCTGAAACAAAGGCAGCATTTCACCCAGATACTAAGTTTAACTCGTGGTATACTCACAGTATTCAAAATGTGAAACTGTTGGCTCACACTCAACACCACTGCAGACATAATTTCCGTCATGAGGCCCCGTCTTCCTGTAATGTATATGCTGTGTGTGTAGACTGTGAGAGCGTCAGTGCAGATATATTAAGAAGCTTGACGGCCACATACATACTCTGACCTCAGCTAACCCTTCTGTAGACAACAAGTCTGTTTACATTTATCTAATGATGCAGACGGCTACAAAATATTTGGATTCATGGAAATAATATTAGGAGCAAGTGTGGCCAGATCCAGGATCCTGTTTTGTGTGAAGTATTATATGCTTTCACAAAAGGCCTTAGCTTTGGGAACACTGAGGTCATGTCCTCACTATAATGACCTGAGGAGGAGGTCACACTATACAATTACACAAGTTACACATAGTCTTATATCTGTGCTAGTGTTTCTAAAATCCTGGTCCTGGTTCCTTGTATCATGTACTAATTATGACGCTAAAAGCAGGCCGTGCTAAGTAGAGATACTGATCTTGATTAGTCAGGCCCGATTGACTTGAATGAACCCACACTGAAGTCTGCAACCTTGTGTATTTTGTGGTCATGCAAGTCGGACTCAATGCGTCTGTGTTATGCAATGAAACCACAGAGAGCGGAAGTCAACAATGTCTTCACCTTAGAAAGCAACCTGCTGGAGAATAACAGCGCACACTGCAAAACAAGGTCAGGCATTGTGCTACAAAAACATTCACAATAAAAGAAGTTGAAATAACAACACCCCACTATGACTCCTGATGGATTTTTTTATCTACTCTATCAGCCACTTTGGCAGCTAATGAACCAGAACGCTTTGTGCTCTAAAAACAATTTGGGCTGCAGAATGCAAAGAATTGACTCATAATATTCTGTATAAATGCTACTATACTATCCATGCTGTTAATGTAGGAAAATACCGGCAGACATTCGGGCCTCAGCAGGCTGAGCAAAAACCGTGAAAACAGGATAAATGCGGCTTGGTTTGAAAGTTAATTTACTTGAACTGACTGCATATCTTGCACGCAAAACCGTCCTTTTAAAAAAACAAGTAATATATGGGATTATCAAAAGACAGGATGAAGTGAGGTCCCCTGAAACCTCGCCTGTCTGCTGGCAACTGTCCATTCCCACACTTCTAGAAAACCAGCTGCAGGCTAAATATAAACCTCTGCTTTAGGGGACCGTGTGAGGTTACAAGGTGGGTGAAACTTTCCAGGATCTTTACAGAGTTGTACTCGCTAGTGGTCACTAAAGGACACTATAACGAACAGGCCTGAAACAGTGAGGTCAGCCATGTCATTCCACAACTACTTAGTCTGTATGTTTTTGGTCAGCTTTCCTCTGCAGAAAGATAGATGGTATTTTGAGCTAATCTAAGCTAAGATACGCTACAATAAGATATAAAATATACAAGTATAGATAATAGGTATTATGTATATAGAACTAAAATCAACAGAAGCAAAAATATAAACTATACAAAAGCACTTAAAGACAAAAATAACAGTGGTGTGATGTGATTAACAGCAGCAGAGTCACTATGCAAATGTGTGTGTACATCAGATTAATGTATAGTCGCACTATAGTGCAATATATTACATAATAAATCCTATAAATCAGTCCAACAGGGAGAAATTAACTTCAAATGCCTGAAAGGAAACATCAGACTAGATTGTTTTGACAGAAAATTTTTAACATAAACTACACTAAATATATGTTTTTCCCTAAGCTATTTGCTCTCTGTAATGGATGTATGCACTTCATCCACTTCATCAGAAATACAGCCTAACTCTCTGTAATAGATGTGCTTTTGTCTGTATACTTTATAAAAAATGAAAACATAATAATAACAATAATAACAGGCCGATAGCCAAGCTACACTTCACTCTAAAACACAGATGAAAAAGTAGAGTATGTGTGCCTTTGATATTGTAAAATCCAAGGTAGAATTATTGTGTAATAGTAGTAAAAACTATTTGATGACTAGCACTGAAACACACTCCTAAAAGTGCATTTATACAAAAAAGGTACAAGATAGATAGATAGATAGATAGACTAAATAAACAGTGCAAACAAAGCCAAAATATGTGTATTTTATGTGTCTTTCAATACTATTTTCCACTCTGATAACATCACTCTCTGTAATAGATGTGCTTTTGTCTGTATACTTTATAAAAAATGAAAACATAATAATAACAATAATAACAGGCCGATAGCCAAGCTACACTTCACTCTAAAACACAGATGAAAAAGTAGAGTATGTGTGCCTTTGATATTGTAAAATCCAAGGTAGAATTATTGTGTAATAGTAGTAAAAACTATTTGATGACTAGCACTGAAACACACTCCTAAAAGTGCATTTATACAAAAAAGGTACAAGATAGATAGATAGATAGATAGACTAAATAAACAGTGCAAACAAAGCCAAAATATGTGTATTTTATGTGTCTTTCAATACTATTTTCCACTCTGATAACATCACTCTCTGTAAAAGATGTGCTTTTGTCTGTATACTTTATAAAAAATGAAATGAAAATGAAAAATAAAATAATAATAACAATAATAACAGACCTATAAGCAGCTACACTTCACTCTAAAACATAGATGAAAAAGTAGAGTAGCCTATGTGTGCCTTTGATATTGTAAAATCCAAGGTAGAATTATTGTGTAATAGTGGCCCCTAAAAGTGCATTTATACAAAAAGGTACAAGATAGATAGATAGATAGATAGATAGATGCCTGAAGGTGAAACTTCAAACTAAAGATTGCTGTAAAAAAAAACCTAAATAAACAGTGCAAACAAAGCCAAAATATGTGTATTTTATGTGTCTTTCAATACTATTTTTCACTCTGATAACATCACTCTCTGTAATAGATGTGCTTTTGTCTGTATACTTTATAAAAAATGAAAACATAATAATAACAATAATAACAGGCCGATAGCCAAGCTACACTTCACTCTAAAACACAGATGAAAAAGTAGAGTATAAGTGCCTTTGATATTGTAAAATCCAAGGTAGAATTATTGTGTAATAGTAGCTGCAATTTTCTCTGTAGTAAAAACTATTTGATGACTAGCACTGAAACACACTCCTAAAAGTGCATTTATACAAAAAGGTACAGACAGAATATACAAGATAGATAGACAGAAAAATTGACTAAATAAACAGTGCAAACAAAGCCAAAATATGTGTATTTTATGTGTCTTTCAATACTATTTTCCACTCTGATAACACCACTCTCTGTAATAGATGTGCTTTTGTCTGTATACTTTATAAAAAATGAAATGAAAATTATAAATAAAATAAGAAGAAGAAGAACAGGCCTGTAAGCAGCTACACTTCACTCTACAACATACATGAAAAAGAAGAATACATGTGTGAAACCCAGGTTAAATTGCTGTACTGTATAACTGTATAACTGTATAACAGTAGCTACAATTTTCTCTGTAGTAAAAACTATTTGACTAATTAGATAGATAGATAGATAGACAGATAGATAGATAGACAGATAGATAGATAGATAGACAGATAGATAGATAGATAGACAGATAGATGTGAGCAACAGTGCCTCCCTCTATCGACAGCAGCACTTTAAACCACGTGACCTGTGTTTACATCCTCTCCTCAGCTGTTTCTTTCTTCTTCACTTCGACACCACGGCTCGCCGTTACTACTTTACCTTTCCATCCCGACCAGCTGAGCACAGTTAGCACAGCTAGCCGGCAGTTAGCTTCTGACAGGAGGCTGCTAACGTCTCAGTGTCACTGACCGTCGCGTTGCACAGAGCATCCAGCAACAAGGACTGAGTTAATGCGACACGGCATTGTGAGTATCTTTATTTTCCTTTCAGCTAACTGCCGCCTGTGTGCGTGTGTGTGTGAGTGTGTGTGTAGCCGGTTTGCACGGTCGGCAGCAGCATTGTGTCCGCTTTATTAAACGTGACAGATCCAGACTGGCTGTTTGTGTGTTAGCTAGCAGGCAGGATAAAGATGTGAGCTTACCTAACCTGGCTTTGTCTCTGTTTTGATGATGGCGCACTCAGGCCCACACAAGCTAACGTTAGCCAGGTTCACTGGGAACTCACGCGGCGTTAACCCGACACTTGACGTCAACTTACACACTTAAACACAACAATATGTAACGTGTCAGTGTGAGCGACGTTTGCAATAATACACCCTTTGTTTTGCGTCTTGTCGTGTCGGTGTGTGCGCGGGTTGGAGGAGACTTTTCTGTCACAAACGTTTACCTCACCAGGCGGAAGAAGCTCCGAGAAATCAACGTTATGTTTGTTTGTTTTGGTGTTGTTGTTGTTGTTTTCCCGCAGCGGTTATTGCACACGCGCAGGGATGTGACAGCCTCTGTTTTTTCAACAAACCGGTTTAGCGAGTCGCTGCCGACAAAGATTGAGGTTAATCGCACTGCAGAGAGAGCTGGCCAGCAACTGCGTTTATGGTCGACAAGTGGGAACAAAAGCTGGATGCGCACACACACACACACACACTCACACTCTCTCACACACACACAGTGCAGTGTGTTCAGTGTGTGTCAGCTCGTGTCACGGATGCTGTTCGTGTCTCACAGATGTGCACGGGCAGGATTTTGAAGAAACAGCCGTGATTAATAACGCTTGACAACGTTTCATGAAAGCGCTGTTGTTGTTTTGCTCCATCGTCACACGCAGTGCGAAGAAAGTGTCCGGGCAGCTGATTGGCTGACGGGCTGCTGTCTGTGTGGCAACTGCAGCACGTGACCAGGTAGAGAGCTGATTGGCTTCATCAGGTGTCAGTTGTGGGGATATAGGAACATCTGTATGCGTGTATAAGGAATGAGCAGGAATTAAAATAACATCTGTGTGCTGTACTAAGCACAACTATAATTAAGTTTACTCTGAAAGTGTCTGACTGAAAAGTGGGTTAAACAATATGAGAAACACCCTGGAAAATGATCAACTACTACAGATTATACTACTAAGAGGGTGAGGGGTGCAACTACTGATCACTGTATCCATTAATCTGTATGACAATTGTGAAAAATGCTCATCTCAGTTTGCAAAATCCAATAGAAATACTTAAATTTTGTCCTATCAGCAGACTAAAACCTAAATATAATCAGTCACCTGTCACATAAGACAAAAACAGCAGCAACTGAAAAGCTGCCAATCCAGGTGTGCCGGGAGATTTTGTGATAACCACACATTATTATTATTATTATTGCAGTATTCACCTGGGTCATGAATTAATTTTTAATTGACTGTATCAGTATGTTGTGTGCACCCATTTCCTTATAAAGAGGCAAGAGGGATGATAACAAGTAACCTCCTGAGACCTGAAGTTTTGTAATGTGTCCTAGCTATTTGGGATCAGTAGGACCTGATAAGTGTGAATAAAAACCTCAACATTGCCGATGATAATTACGTCCCAATGTCCTCCAACAAGTACTTCCTTGTTGCTAGAATTGGTCAAACTTGTTGCCATATCAAACTATAAACATTATTAATCAAAAATTACAAGTTTCAATCATAAAATGTGATCAGGTTTTGAACCTTTGACTTGAGATGGCTGCCATCTTGTTTTTCCATTGATAGGTGTATTGTGCTCTTACTACCACTAGATGGCACAAAAATGTGTCGATGAACGAGGACAACAGGTGGAATTTAAATAGAAGTATAAGGGTCAAGTAAACCCAAAATGTGTTGCCCTCATATGAGGACACAGGGTCGGTCTCAGGAGGTTAAAAGGAATAAGCAGTGAGTGGGACAAACGGATTGATTTATTACAAGCACCAGCGAAGACGACCTACCACCGAAAGAAAAGAGGAAAAAGTAGAAAGTATCATGAAAGCTACCTGTCTTATTTTTTTCTTATTTTTACTGTCTTACGTCATGATCAGAGTGATGACACATGTTATAGAAGCTTGTGTGTGCAGATAGAAATTGAGGTGTGCCTTGAGATATTGGCTTACCCTGTGGTGTGCACAAAAAGTTTGGAAACCACTGATCTACATGATGGCAAATCCTAATGACTGGGCAAATCATTTTCTCAAGTAATGTGGCCACAGTGGCATCCTCAGATGTCTTGCTTTGTCCTATCATCATTTCAAAACCCACGTTTTAAGTCTGATGTCATGTGAAAAAGAAAAGCAGCATATATTTATATTTCAAAAGTAGAACCAATACATTTTTGGCATTTTGGTTTAAAGGGGCAATAAGCGGAAATTCATAATTTCTAGATTGAAGGAATTAAAAAAACACTATGTGAAGAACTAGAGGTGTAATTTCATCTGGAGTATAGCATGACCTCACACAACCTCTCTCTGTGTTGATCTCCAGCCCCTTGTTTACAAGCTGGTCTGGCTGCGCGTTCATGTACATTCATGTGAACCCCCCCCCCCCGGAGCCCTTGGCCCTCCCTCTCTATAAAAGGCTACAGCCAGTGAGCAATGGCAGCGCGTATTGTTGAAGCTAAATGGCGGAGAGCAGAATGAAACATTCACCTGAAGACGACCAGGATCCGACATTACCTTTAAAGAAACAAGATGGCGAAGAAGTTGTCGTTTCCAAGGTGGAGAGCACTGCGAGAGCTAAAGGGGCTACAATTTGACTCGGAGCTAGCTCTTCTTCTCATGGACAGGTAGCCTAAGTAACAACATAAAGTCAAATAACATTAGGCACATGTCGCTACGTCTATGTTACAATAGTAGCATGGGTTAATGTCCGGAGCTTTAGTTATTAGCGGCTCGGTCCCAGCAATGGGTCAGGCGTTACGGTTGTGTTAGATGAGTAGCCCGGCAGCCTAGCTAACATTTGCAATTAGCATTGTAAAATGTGGCCAGGCTAAAACATCGCTCTCACTCATGGAGAAGAGTAGGAACGTTAGCGTTAGCTTCCGGTGTTAGCACTAGCTGGGATCCGGCGATGGCTCTAGCCGGGGTGTGACTCATGACACACTTTGTTTTGGTCTACAGGCAGTGCACAACAGCAAACCTAGCGGTGAAACAATTTCGCTTTTTGCCCCTTTAATAAATATGGGAGGATTAATTCAATTTAATTCAATATAACTTAATTTATCCCAAAGAAAATTGTGCCAGAGAATGCTTCACATTCACAACCAGTAACATTACAACCAGACAACCAGTGGGTTCCCTGGGTCAGGGTCTCTCACTGGGCCCAGTTTTAGAACAATATAGTATTAAATATCTGGCCAAACATACAAATATACAAGATAACAAGTGTTTTCAAGGAGCCAAAGCAAAACCAGCGTCTAATACAGTGACAATAAGCCTAAGATAAGCACAAGAGTTACTAAAAATGAGCTAAAATGGTGGAAAATAACTGACTGCGCTTGATAATTTGATACAATAATGTGCATGAATATTGTTGTCAGTGTCTTTCATTAATTGAAGTTAACAGAAATATTGGCAATCAATTTTCTTTCGATCTAATAATCAGTTACTCCCCTATAAGCTTCAGGTCTGGTTAAATGAAAGCCCCTGTGACACAAGAGATCCATGACAGGGCTGCATTGAAGTCTCTTTGCAAATTTACCCAGAACCAAACAGCGGTGGCCTCATGCTGCCCCAGTGTGTAATTTTAGACACACACTGGTGTTCTGTGTTATGGGTGTGACGTGTGACACAACCGTGTTGGCCTCCAGTGTGACATAACATACACGTCACACAGTGCTTCAGTGGCATGAGCTGGCCATAACAATCATTTACTGTTTCTGTTATGTGACTGTTAATCTTGTCCTCTGCCTGGAGGGTAAGAAGCTCCCCAATTTGCGTAAATTTTCATCTGCTGTTCTTCTTCTTTGAGTTAGCTGACAACTGTTGCTTTCTAAATCTCTTGTGGTGAGTCGGACACATAAGACATTGTCCAAATGCACACCTGTCCCATCCTACCAGCTGTCCCTTTTACACAGATGTCAATTAGGCGGAAGACCTTCACAGTGAAATTAGTATGCAGAATTTTTGTTCAGGTGTCGACTGAAAGCAGTGCACAAGAGTTAAGTTCATGGCCTCACTGTTATCATTCTCATCACACATCAGAAAAAAAAAAAACGATGAATAAAATGTATGCAATGCAAGACACAAATGTTTGCAGGTTCATTTAGGTGCCACACATTTCAGGAAAGACACAACAATGTTTATGTTATGTCTTTCCCAAAGCTGTATGACCTTTTTTTCTGAATACACAGAGACAATAGGAATCAAAGTGACAGGGTTCAGAAGAGAATAAGTTAAACAACTAAAGTTCTGGTAAATTTTGAAAATCTAAGATGTTTCACACCCACCCACTCATGCAGTCGGTTCCTGTTGTTCGCCTGGTACAACAAACGCCTCTAATCTCACATCCTGTGTTGTCTGTGGCTAATTAATACAGAGTCCAGTGGTCAAAGTCACATAAATAAAGACGGAAGCAAATGCATTTTTCATTAGGCCTAATCGCACCATGACACTACCCTGCCCTTTTGAGGTACCTGGGGACTGAGTCAGAGCAGAAGCCATATTGTTACCTAAATGAAAGGATTTGTCCACTGCTGAGCATAAAAATCTTCAGAGGTTTTCATGGCAGTCTTTCTTATATTCTTGTCAGATGATGGTACGAAGGGAAGGGGTCATTATATTGAGCGACTCATTAGACTCTGAAATGAAAGTCTAGATCTGATAGTACCACTAGCATTGCCCAAAACTTTATGTCGGGAGAGGAAGACACACCACTGTAAGAGCAAAAATGTTTTTTTCTCAAGTAGAAACTGGTCTTAATATAGTGCATTATCAAGAAAATCCTGTCACACAGGACTGGATGGACAACTGACTTGAACCAG